AATATTCGATTCTTATGAGAAATCTGTATCGATTCTTATGATTTGGTAATTATTTACATTTTTATTTAATACCCGAATAAATGAAACAGATACCTTAAAACTTGCCGTCTGGGTAGCTCGGGGGCTTAGAGCTCGGTGTAAACATCACAGAACGCGAGCAACCCAGTTGTGATCCCCACTGGCATCAATGAAATTGTTAGTTGCAATTTTAAATGCCGATTTACCGCGTGCTCGCCGGTGAAAAACATTGTAAGGAAACCTACATGTCTGAGAAATAAAAGAAATATTTCGAGGGCATGTGAAGTCCGCCAACTCGCATTTTGCGACACTTCCTTGCCCTGAAATGAGAGAAAACCTTTGCCCAGCTATGGGCTGTAACTTAACCTCAAAACAAAATTTATCAGTCTCTTCGTATTTATTGCTTACTGCTAATTTATAGAGATAAAAATATATAAATTAAAGACTGTATTAACACGGACACAGTCAGATTGATTAAAATCACTTTCATTACAACTAGTTGAGCTGTCGTCGTCACCGTCATTATAGTTGTTTACGTTAATTAATACGTGATTTTCTATAATGCATTCGAAATGAATCTCGTTCATATTCATCCATTTCTTTGTTTTATCCATCACTTTGGCCGACATGAATGTTCTGGTGAAGGAGTTGTATTTTCTATTTTCTACTAACCCTCCATCGGTAGATCCTACATGGCAAATTATGACGCGCCCATCTTTTCCCACGGGCACATCATGTGTCCATGTTTGCGGCACGGTGCGTTTGGCGTATAGCCATGTTTTATCAATGAATTTAGAGTTGTCCCAATTAGTTATATTTTTAATTACGTACTCGTAAAACGTTATTCTTTGCATTCATATCTTAAAAAAATATTTTGTGTTTATGAATTCTTTTGTATCGGAAGCTGAATATTTTTCAAATGGTTCCCAATGACTATATCATCATTGTAAACGCCGACATCGAGATCGACATATTTACACTACTACCGTAGTGTTTGGATAATTCAAACATGAATTTGAATTATCCAAACACTACGGTGAGGTACATAACAGCATACCGTTGAAACAACGTCAAGCAAAAAGTTGATTCTGTTAATTTTTTTCATATTTTGCTTTGTTTGATAGATTTAAATTGAAATTAATGACTAAGAACTATACATGTGGTAATGAGATATAGATAACTTCATCATCATCATCATCATTACAGCCCTTCACAAGTCTACTGCTGAACATAGGCCTCCCCCAAGGAATGCCAATAAGCACGGTCCTGAGCCACTACCATCCATCGACTTCCTGCGTGTCTTACCAGGTCGTCACTCCATCTAGTAGGGAGTCGCCCTACACTATGCCTACCGGTACGAGGCTGCCACTCGAGAAACTTTTTTCAACATCGCTTGTCGGTTCTTCGAGCTATATGACCGGCCCGTTGCCACTTCAGCTTACTAATCCGTTAGGCTATCTCGATCACTCTGGTCTTACTGTGGATATCCTTATTTCTAAGTTTATCCGAGCATAGCCCTTTCCATAGCTAGCTGAGCGACCTTGAGCGTCCTCATACGGCCAGCAATAAAGGACAAAGTCTCAGATCCAGAAGTCATCACTGGCAACACGCACTGGTTGTACAATCTAGTTTTCAGGTTTTGAGGTATACCTGACGAGAAGATGTGTTGTAATTTTCTGAACGCTGCCCAGTAAAGTTGAATCCGTCGATTGATCTCTCGGTCGAAGTTGGTCTTACCTAGTCGGACTATTTGTCCCAGGTAAACGTCCTCGACAACTTCGAGTTTAGTGCTCCCAACAACTACGGGCATAGGTGTCACATGGATATTAACCTTTTGTGCGCCACGCCAAAAACGCATTACCGTGTTCTGTACGCCAAAGCGAAAAGTAAACAAACATACCTACGAAAATAAATAGTGTTTCCAAGAGTTGATATATCGATAACACAAAATAACTTGATTTTGTTGGTTTTTTATGCAATAAATGACTCTTTATAATCTGGTATGTTTTATTTAATCTGGTGCTGTCTTCCACTCTCTTTATATATGTACTTTGTACATAAATAAAAAACAAACAATAACAATAAAATAGTAGTAAAACACAGTACTAATCTTCATCGTGATGACGTCACTGTCACGACTGGACGACAACGGCGTAGCTGACCTTCCTTTTTGAAGCTTTGTGTTTCCACAGCATAAGTCTAATTTTTTAGGTCGTCTTTTACGATACAAGCTTTTGAACACTCTCCCCATTGATATTATGAATGCCACAAATAAAAAAGTTTTCAAAGTTCTTCTCCGAGAACATTACCTGAAGGCAACTACTAATTGACATTATTTTCCCTTAATTCTTCTTTCTTTTCTTCTTTTTTATTTCATATATTTATTTCATTATATATTATTCAAACATTATATTATATATATCATCATTTGGATATTTATTTACGAAGTTTATAAGCATGTATATATATATATATATATATATATATGGGTATGTATGTATGTAAACTTATTTATGTATAATGGTCGCACCTGCCAACAATTGCCCCTGGCGCCCAGGGTTGACTGGCAGAGAAGGCCACATGGCATTAAGTCTGCCCTAAGGACCCTTTAGCTTAAGGTGTTATATGTAAGTTTTTAAATAAATAAATACCTTAAGTAGAAAATAAATATTTGTTATTTGTAATTTTATATTATTAAAATAAAAAAATTCATCATCATCGACGCTTTCCAAAATGCGAATGAGTTCTGAAGAATCGTTCATGTTGTACTGCACTACTTTTTCCGCTATTCGTTTATGATGGTATCAGGGTGTCGTCTATCCTTGACCACGGTGCCTGGTAATCGATGACGCGCTAAGGATGCGCACGAGTTGAGATATAAGATTTATTATGCGAAGTTGATTTGATAAAAATTTCTTTTATTTATGTAGCTGATGATAGTTTTACGTTTCTTACCTTTTGTTTTATTCAAATATCAATAATAATTTAAGTTTTCAATAAATCTATGCCTAACGCATTACAACACTAGCGGTCAAACATAGACGACTTTGGCGTGCTTGACATAGTATTTGCTCAGATAAAAATCCTTTTTTTTAGTCCAATGTCTCTTAGTATTTGTGGCTCTAGGAGACTGGTTTCTTATACTCACATGTTGCTGGGTTATTCTTTTTTTGAGGAGTGCAGAACTAAAATACCAGTAATAATTTTCCGATATCTATATTTCATATTTTTGTGGGCCGGGTTTTTTGTCAACTATAGACGTCGTTGGCGCTCAGGGCCCGCAGGCGCTGGTCAAGTATAGGCGACTTTGGCGCTCAAAAGGTTAAACGTGATCTTTGTTTTGTCCATGTTCATCTTAAGACCTATCCGTTGAGAGACTATTGAGGTCATTGAGCATAGGGCTTAGGTCCTCCAGCGATTCTGCCATAAGGACTATATCGTCGGCAAATCGAAGGTGAGTGATGTACTCACCATTGATGTTAATACCGTATTCTTTCCAGTCCAGTAGCTTGAAAACGTCTTCCAATGCAGCGGTGAAGAGTTTCGGGTATATATCGTCATCTTGTCTTACACCTCTTTGCAGTTGGACAGGTTTCGAACTCTGGTTCTGTACTCGGATAGCCATCGTCGCCCTACTGTACAAACACTTCAGCACTTCGATATACCGACAGTTCCATTGGCACCGCTGAAGAGACTAGCACCGCCCAAATTTCGACGGAATCAAAGGCTTTCTCATAGTTCACATACGCCGGGCAAAGTGGCAGATTGTACTCTTCGGTCTTCTGTACAATCTGCCGGAGGGTATATATGTACGTATGGCACTGAAGCCTTTTCGGAAACCGGCTTGTTCGGGAGGCTGGAAGTCGTCGAGTCTGCGTGCAAGACGATTCGTAATGACTATCGAAAACAGCACGTAGACGCGGCTCAACAACTACAAACTCAACCTCATAATTCTTTGGATTTATGTAAAAGGTTATTTTGAATCGTGTGAGTACGCTTGTACAAAGATACTGCGGAATGATTAATGTGAAACGTCAAAAGGTATTTCTTAGATTTGGTGGAGTAATATAATGCAAATGAAGCCTTAATCTAAAATAGTCTGCCTATATAATAGCCGACTATGATAGGAACCTGGACTAGAGTAAACCTGTATCTCAAGTGTATGTGCTAATAGATACACTATCAAGTATTTTTTGTATCTTGTATAAAATGTATAACTTACCTACCAATTTGGGTTAATTTCTATTTAAATATATTAACTAACTTAAAAACAAGCAGCTACTTTTCCGAACTCTAGTTTCGAACAACAAAAAAATAATTGAGCGCTGCCACAGAAGTGCTGTGTACATTTTAAGTGACGCAAAAACCAAGCCAAAACTATGTTCAAAATATAGTAAGAACACGCACTCACGTACACATGCATCTACAATAATTTACAACCAATTATATGGTTTTAGCCGGGTGCTCGCAATCCAAGTCGATCTCCGTCGGCACCACTTATAGTTAATCGCTATTGTAACACCGGTATTCAGAGATATTTGAGAGATTAAACTCGAACTTCACAATGTTTTGTTACGTAGCAGAGCCATGCTGCAACTATGTTATGGTTGTAGCAAGAATGGGTCGGCTCGACCGGGAAGAGACCACGCTCTCACAGAATACAAGCGTAAAAAAGCAGCTTCTTAATGTTGCTGTGTTTCGTATGGTGAGTATAGAGAACCGGACATCCTTTTTACTGGAACCGAGGAATTCCATCTTAGTCCTCAAGGATGACAACGCATCTGCATTTTGATTCTTAATCGAAGATAAATGTAGATGTCTATGGCCCACAACATCCACTTGCCATCAAATGGACTTTGTTCCATTCCTCCTCCATTCTATAAAAAAATGTCTACATTTGTGTAAATAGTATGGCTTAGACCTTAGACTAAAATTTTTACTATGTGGAGCTTAAACTCGGGATTGTCTCTGAATTACTACGTTCAGCGACTGAATGTTGATAGGCTGTATAAATAATGAATGGATGAAAACTTTGTAAAAATCTCACCTTCATCCAGACAACGGCATTCCTGGAAACAAAACAAAGTATTTAATAAATTTATCTAGGTAAAAATATTAGTAGCTTGCAAGTGCTTAGGGGGCAATCCAAATATATAACAATCGGCCTTTGCAGCGTAGGTAACAGATCTTATCGAAAAGATATCAGTTTATGTTATATCAACATTGTCAATAGCCCCTAAGCTCCTTACAAGTCCCCTGCTAAACATTGGCCTCCCTCAAGGAATGCCACAAAACACGATTTGGAGACACCTGCATCCATCGACTTTTTTTTTTATGAAAAAAAAGAGAGGATGCAAACGTGCACACGGCTCACCTGATGGTAAGTGGTTTACGCTGCCCATGAACAGCTGCAACACCAGGGAAATTACGAATACGTTGTTGTCCTTTAAAAAAGATTAGGCTCTTTTCTTAAAGGTTCCTAAGTCGTATCGATTCGGAAATTTCGCTGGTGGTATCGGTTCCAGCCAGTAGTGGACCGCCAATCATTCAGATTGTACAGATGGTATTTCGAGTTCTGTCGCGATGTGCGATGGCGAAATTGAGCGGCAGGAATTAGTCCGAATAATTCCTCTGACCACTCCCCGTGGTAGATATGATAGAATACGCAAAGAGATGCAACATCTTTTCGCGGTGCCAGTGAGTCAAGCTGATCAGAAAGAGCTCGGTCGCCGACTATTCGAACCGTTCTGCGCTGGTTCCGACCAATTAAAGGAGCTGCCATTGGGGAGCCCCGGCCCAGAGATGGGAACAGTATTGAATGTGCAGCCGAAATTGCGCCTTGTAAAGTTGCAGGCGTTTTCCCGGCAGGAAATACTCTCCCGCTCTACCGAGCACGCAAAGATTTTTAGAGGCCAATTTGGCCTTTTATTCCAAGTGACCACGAAACTGCACGTCATTCGATATGTCGACGCTGAGGATTCCGATACTGGCTAAGGCAACAAGGGGAATGCCTCGAAACTGAGGAGGTACGACGATGGGGTTCTAAACGCGCAAACTTGTGTCTTCTGGGGATTAAACTGGACTAGATTTAGTCGCCCCAATCCGAGACTTTGTTCAACAAAGTTTCTTCTGACACAAGTTTGTTCCGGTACTCGGCTACTTTTTCCCTAGAGACATTGGCACGGCCGGTGTATAAAGCATCACCAGAGCTGTCGTCCGCATAGCAATGAATGTTACTGGTTTGCAACATATTGATATGCAGTAGAAACAGAGTTGGTGATAGCACGCAGCCATGTGGAACACCAACGTTTATAGGCTTGTAATTGGAGCATTCACCGTCTACTACGACTAAAACGGACCTCGAGTCACGGGTCTGGCGCCCCTATCAGGGATCAAACAATTATTGATCTTGTACTCACAGACTAATATCACACCACACTGGGTTCGGGACAACGAGGTGGGAGTGACCACGTGACCCTAGATGAAGACGTTCGATTCCGTTCATAAACTGGTTTGTTAAAAGAAAGGGTTGACCATTAACATTTAATTTCTTTATTCATATTACATAACCCATTACTATAGAACGCATGAATCTGAGTTAATTCATAGCATATTTTCTTCCAGAGAAAAATTGTTTGTTAATTAAGATAAGACGTTTTATTAAAGAAACTAACCAAATATTTTAGAAAACATTTGATGCCCCGATCAGCCCGAAAACTGGTGATCCAATTACACCATAGTTATGTTATAATTACACCGTAGGTCCATAGGAAGGAAGCTTCGTAAGAAGCGCTTTGTGCCAAATCCGATCGAATGGCTTCACTATATCCAAAGTAACCACCAAAGCCTCCCCCTTGCACTCAATCGCCTGCGCCCATCGGTGTGTTAGATAAACAAAAATATCACCAGCTGAGCGATCCCGAAGCCGTACTGGCAGTCACTCATCAGCTGGTGCCCTTTATGGTACCACGTAGACTGACAGTTAATAATAGACTCCATTATTTTCGAGAACAAGGAGGTGATGGCGATAGGCCTGTTGTTGGACAGATAAGAGCGGTTACCTTTTTTAGGAATCGGGTGCACGAAAGCTGTCTTGCATGAACTTGGGACAACGCCTAGGGAGTAGGAGTACCGGGAAAGACGCATTAGAACCGCTGCGGTGCCAACTCCAGAGCACAGGTCCCTAGTACAATTGGGAGGATTTCATCAGGCTCACTCGATTAGTGGATGTCATAAATGTATAGAGCACTCACACCGCGGGATGGTCGGTGGTGTGTCCCCCCCCCCCCCCGTCATCAAGAGTCGAGTTGTACGCAAAAAGGAGCTAAAAGGCTAGCTGGCTAAGGAGGCCAGCTCTCTCTTTTGCAGCTTGAGCCAGTGAGTCGTCCTCCTTGTGCAGAGATAGTAGTGATGAGTGAGTGAGATGAGTAAGGATTAGAGAAATTCCCTTGGACAGTGGCAATAACTTCTTTAAGGACCTGCAGGCGAAGTTATACTTATGTTTAAGCATGATGGTGCTTACATTCCGAGCCGCCGAAGCGTCAGCTCAGGCCTGATAACACTCCTGCTTACTGTGTAACGCAGTCTTTCAGGAGCGACTAAACCAAGCTTGAGATCTGCCTCCGATGGGTACCACAGATAATGGAATAAATTGTTCCATTCCCTGTAGCACCATATCATTGACAGAGTCAGCAATAGCGTTGGAATCATTCGGCGAGAAGCAAACCCGCTCCCATGGGTAGGATGAAGAAAAGATGCGGTCTTTTCTTCATCCGTCCCAATACGGCGACCTGTAATGCCAAACACGGCGACAGCGTGCAGAATGCAACCGTTGAAGGGAGCGTGAGTGACTCCACACTCCTGATCAGACAAAGGTCCGAAGAGCCGAGACCGTTTCCGTCGACGGAAACCTGATATCCGTCCGGACGAGAGGTCAACATAAGATCCAACAGGGAAGGTGTATGATCAGTTGAGTCAGACCATATGCAAAGGCCAAGTCATAAACAGACAAAATACAACCTATTTTAAAAACGAAAAACTTACTGAGCCAATAATGGTGCTACGCTTTTCTTGTGAATTTAGTTGCTTGTTTTTCTTTGGTTGTATCTTTGGTGAGCAAGATGTGTCAACCCCGCCTGTAAGATAAAAAAAAGTTAAAAGCCCCTTTCGTTTTATGAAATTCATAAATTTAATTTCTCACAGCTTCAGGGTTCCGTTTTCATACGTACCAGTATCCTTATAATTTTTTCTTTCCATCTTTATAGAGTATTTGACTGAACGAGAGAATAAGAAAGCATGAATATGTATTTATGAACAGAGAATGCAATTTTTGGCAGATTTTAGCCGAGGTGAATTCCTCTAGATTATGACACATTGGCTCTAGCTCCTCTTACACTTCAAACCGAAACTCAGCATTGGTTGTATCGTTTGGCGTCAGAAATAAACAAGAGGGCGGTAACAAACAGTCCTTGGGTAAAGAAAAGTTCAAAGGTATTTAGTTGCATTAGGCGTTATATATGAATAATTTTTGAAGGTAGAAAGGATCCTCGCGTCAAAGATCCTGGGAAATTCACCAAAAACAGGCCCGAAAACCAATTATAGTGTGTTTTTACGTGGTAGAGCCATGCTGCAGTTATATTAGTAGTATAGTTGTAGCACGAATGGGTTGGCTCGACCGGGGCAGGACCACGCTCTCACAGAATACCAGCGTGAAATGGTAGCTTGATGCTGCTGTGTTTCGTATGGTGAGTGTAGAGAACCGGAGACCCTTTTTACTGGAAACGAGGCATTCTATCTAAGTCCTCACGGGTGACCATGCATCTGCATTTTGATTCGTAAACGAGGATAGATATAGATGTCTATGGGCCATAGAAACCACTTACCATCAGGTGGACTGTGTGCTCGTTTGTCATCCTATCCTATAAAAAAACATATAGTCTCTGCCTGGGATTCGAGCTTAGCACTCGCATAGAAACTCTGAACCTGTCCCGCGCGGTAGTTAAAACTTAATAAATTAAATGTAATTCTTACCAGTACCGGGGCCTGTATCTTTCACTGGGCTTACTTTATACATCTGAAAAAAATATGTTCCATCATGTTCTGTATTATAATAAAAATTGGGCATTTTTGATTGATATTTTAAAAGGGATGAATTTTCTGTACATTTTTTTAATATCATGTTTTCGTTTTAACAAGAATGTCACAACTCATTAGGTGTGACACTCTCTATCATCACCATCACCATCAGTCCGTGTATAGTGCACTGCTGGACGTTGGTCTCTTGAATACTTTCAGGTTGATGACAATTCAACTAGAACTAGGTTTGAACAACTTGATTTGCCATCATTACCACGCTTGACAAACCAATTGGCAATCGCAGTTCCAGATGTCTCGCTTCTTAGACGTAGATTACAGTTTTGGAGTCTTGTTTATTAAATTGTTCCTTTTCATCAGTGTTTCTTCATCATCTGTTACGGAACTGTCCACTGTTAAATATATGCATCTCTTGATGTAGGCAAGACTTGCTATAATCGTCACGTTTGGGAGGTGTATTGTGGATTAGAATACTAGACGTTTCGACGCTGTTTCCTTTGGACGCTGCTCATCGATTCCTTTTTAACCGTCATTATTTTAAAAACGTTACTGGTTTGAAGTTTAAATAATAATTGTTGTTATTTTTATTAAAATTTTACTAAGAATATCACCTCTAGTAACATATAGTAATTTTTATGTGGCAGTGCGATGCTGCAGCTATATTATTGTTGTAGCACGAATGGTCGGCTCTACCGGGGCAAAATAGCAGCTCCTGTTTGTTCGCGACGCGAATGGCGGGAATTGCAAATTTTTTGCTAACTTGCAAATTTTGCTATATTTTCACTTTGAGACAATATTTATGGATAAAACTCATTTTCTTGTTGAATGTATAAACTATCGAATAAAATTATTTTTGGTTGCTAGAAATTGTAATAAAATTCATAAATTACCCTTTATAGCATAGTAGTAGTATATACTTCACTTTTAGTGCCAAAATTACTACTAATTTGATCTATACACTTTTGTTTTTGGAGAAATTTATATGAAAATGTTTGGAAATATGTATATTTTTTGTTTTATGTGTTTCTATTTGTTACTCATACCAAAATATTAAAAAAAATAATAATATTTATCTGTACGACGTTTCGAACAATATTTCAAATATATTTTTGTGTGAATTTGAAATAAATACAACGTTTCAATTCAAGTTATTTGAAATATGTTATGAAACTATTTTTTAGTTACATTTTACACTAAAAATAAATGAGAATTGGAAAAATAACACATTTTTGACCCAACCGCCAAAATGGGCCTTCTCGATTTCGAAGTACTTTTGGCACTTACTTTTCACTTTTTATGCCACAAATTATATATTTACGTGTTTACTATATTACAAGGAATACAAAAAAGTATAATACTTTCGTTTTTAGTCCAGACACAAATTATCTTGTAATCCATTTTAATATAAAAAAAAGAATATCGACACCTTCAAAAAATTTTGTCAATCCCAAGTATGGTTTACCCTCACACATCGACAGTGCTTGCAGTGGTATAACATTATATATTGGAGTAAGATGCAGCGTAATGACTATAAATTAAGGTTCATAAAGATAGTGCCCTATACACTTCACCGGTGTTTAGCAAGTGTGTGCGAATCTTATATCTATTTGTTGCTTACTGCGTATGTTAAGATGTCCACACCGGTTTTGGAAGTTATCGAGCGCTAATTACTATAATTATTACGATTTCTGTGAAGTAGACAGTTGAAAGGAAGTAGGCAGTAACAGAAATCCACATTGTGTGAAAATTTAATTTAAAACAACAGCCCTGTAACTTTTAATTTAATTTTATTTTTACCCCTACCCTACTAGAAACGTGTTTTTTGCATACATTATTTTATACGATGTAACGGAACCCTTTATGCGCGAGTCCGACTCGCACTTGGCCGGTTTTTAAGGTACAATCACACTCATTAATTAAATTTGTAATTAAAAATTATAAATAAACACCACATTCTTCAAATTCGCTTTTTACAAACATTTTAAAATGGCTTTTTTTAGGCTTTTGGAATAACAAAAGGAACTTTAACAAAAACTTAAACATTTATACTTCAGAAAATATTTATGACGATCTGTACAGTGTAATCCCAGCACGAAGTAAGGTAAACTAAATTGTTAATGAGTCAAAATTCAGCTATACACAAGTAAATACCGATTTCTTTAAGGTTTATGGATCAGTATTTAACGTTTTATGCACGAAAGTTGAAAACGGTTGCATAACTATTAAGAACGTATACTGTATAGTAATCCACTACCTCATATCGTCCCGTGGGTACCCATATCGCCCAGCAGCGTCTTCCCACGTGCCAAGCGGGCCAACCATGGTAAATATTCCTCTTGTGAGACAATCTATGGGAGGGACTCTGCATCTACGGTGGTTCAGCAGTGGAACTTTGATAGGCTGTAACGGTATGTTCATGCAGTATTATGCCCTTTAATTTATTTTATTTATAGATCGATAACAAAAGTGGTCTTTAAAAATAGACCGCTAACCAACTAACTCTTATAATATATCCATGTAATGCTTATGCGATAATATTCGTAGTAAACTATTATGTATTGTCATTGTTGACGCTTACATACCATTTTAATAGCATGAGATTGTAATAAATATAAAAATATAGAATATAAATGACACCTTGCCGTCTTCTCCAGCTTCCAAACCAGAAGATAGTGGTAAAACGTCAGGGCCCCACTGCTTAATGAAGTGTCCAACGCGCGCCACGCGTTGGGCCGGAGTCGTCACCGTGTGAGATCCGCCGCAGTAGCGATTGCATAGATGCTTATCGTTTTCCGACCTATGTTTTTGAATAATATTAACAAATGAGTTTTATCTGAAACGAAGTGCTCGGTGGTCAAGGAAGATATTGTAAGGAATCTTGCATATTCGTTAAAAGTCGTCGCTTCCCACTGTAGTAGCGTAGTGAATGATGCTCATGTTATATTGTCTAGTTCTAGATCCTTCTTAATGCTAATTAAAATTAAGTGGCAGAAGAAGCACGAAAGGAAAATAAATGCTGTAGAAATGCGGTGTTTAAGGAGTATACTAGGGCTGAATCTGAATGACAGCGTGAGAAATTGTGTAATAAGAGAAAAATGTGGTGTGCAAGACGATGTTGTGACCAGGATTAAGAAACAAATGCTTCGTTGTTTTGGTCATTAAGGGGAAATATAACCTCAAATGGCTTAGCAAGATCCTCCGTTATGCCGAAAATATTGTAGCATTAATTTTGAAATAAATATATGGTAAAGTTGAGGATTAATGTTAAGTACTATGTTAGATGAAAACATGATTCCGTAAAATTTTCTCGATAGAAAAAAAAGTTACCTCCAAACTGAACAATAAACCGCTATTATTCATAAACTACTTTAAATAAGATCAATAAACTTTGCATACTAACTGAACTAACTATAAAGCAGGGCTTATGTTTTTTTTTAATTACCATTATTTTCACTGTAAAAAGAAATTACCTAAACTATCGGCGTCCTGTAATTTGGAACCGGGCGGCAGGTTTTCGTCTAACATAATACTTAACGAACTTACCATATATTTATTTCAAAATTAATGCTGCAATATTTTCGGTATAACGGAGGATCTTGCTAAGCCATTTGAGGTTATATTTCACCTTAAAAAGAATGAACAAGGAAAGATTAACTGGAAATATGAACAGCAGAGTCGGGAAGGGACGCTCTAGACGAAGATTTATCGATCAATTTGGCGATATTTTGAAAATGGGCCAGATTAGGAACAATCTTAACATACGAGCGCGTATGCGTAGATATGTAGATGTAAAGGAGGCGAGAGAGGTGTGTCAGGATCGTGCAAAATGTTACTCCGTAGTCTTTGCCCACTGGGTGACAGGCATGAGTGTTTATAACTGTTATAAATTACAATTAAATTATAACTATTAAAATTTAGGTGACTTATTAGACACCGTAAACATCTCAATGATAGAATGAGTACAAAATCAGCTTCACTAATCACACGCATCTCACCGGTTTGATGGTTTTAACAGACTTCAAAATGAGAATGTTATTTATTCGGTAAGTGTATTTGTAATTTATGTAAAAATTATTAGCGAATATTTTATTCCTTTAAATAGTTTTTTTTGACTGTTCATAAAACTACAACCAGATTCGATCTGTTATAGATCCCCTTTTACT